AAAACCTGCAATTTTTCCGAAATTTATGATGAACTGTAAGGTGCAAAATTACTGGGGTCACAACTCAGTTTTATTATAAGTGAACCCTGACTAATGCGAAAACTAGTAGGTAAATTACCACGATTACTAGGAATGAAACAAGCAAATTACACATGTGTGCTCTGCTGTGCTGCATGCGTGACATGTAATGCACGATCTCTGATAATCCTCAAACGCACCTTAATTTCTGCTCAAAATTATTTTAAATCATAACTACTCTGATACTGTAACCATATAACATGATCACAGTGATTACAATACTACGATAATCTTTATTACTGAAAAAGTTCTCAGCACTTCCCTACAATTTTATGGTACTTGTGAGAAAATACCTGTGAAAAGTGGCAAAATTTGGAATTATAACTAAAAATTTTGCTGTCGTTAAGAAAAACTAACTGATCAATTCGACATTAACATTCAGTGAAGCGTTGCCAGCTGGACTAGTCGCGATGCATGTATATTTTCCCTCATCCACCAGACGACCTTTTCGGATTATCAGACTACTCCCACCAGATTCAATCTGCAAAGGTTTTACTTCAGAAGAAGACAAATTTCGAAAAGAGTGGCTGCTGTTGGCATGTGCTGCCCATTCGAATTAATTTTGGATGCCTGTGGCACTCACAGAAAGCGCTAACCCGGGAAAGGACGATGAATGATTTTTCGATCTTGTGGTTTTGAAACAATTTCCAATCATCAATTAACTATCCGCTTAATCCACGTTCAGTACAAGACTGGCCTTACCACAGTAGCAGCTGCGCTTCATTTCCTTTGCTTTCCGATTAGTTTAGCCACTCAAAAATTTTTAACAACCGTCCAGTAATCTCATTGCTCTTCCAGTCAAAAATGCTGTTGCCTTTACCCTTTATTCACCAGTTTCAGACGCTCCTAACGCCCTCGATCTCAATCGTCGAAAGAATCATGCTTACAGTATCTTTCATAACAAAGTTTCAAGAACTGCATGCAACAATTTAATTTCTTACCGTAACATAGGCGGACGACCGTAACGGTACACCGTCTTTATACCACCTGAGGGTAGGTTTGGGTGTGCCCAACACAACAACACAGGACAATCGAAGCTCTTCGCCCTGGATCAGCTGCTCCTCTGGTGAAACGTGTCCAAGCACTGGACTCACTGCAACCCCAACAGTTAGATATGATAAAATGGTTTAACTTGTCAGCATAACTGATGAATACAATGGGCAAGAGAGCGTTCATAGAAAATATATGTTGCCGATTTGTATTTTTGACAAGATGTTGTTTTAAAGCAACAAATTTTGAGTTATTCATAAAATGCCTTTGTTTTAGAACTGGGCACGCAAAAATTTCTCCAATATCTTTTCTTTCCTTCTTACTTCCTCACTGTTAGATAGCATATGAATTCCTAGTATAACAACAGTAAGAAATTGTCCGACAGTCAGTGTGGGGATTTCATTTTAGTAATATCACAGGGATTCTTCTATACGTTGGGTGGAGATACATCTGGCCCTTTGATTCTATGAGCAAAGCTCCGGCTAGTGTGAGGTACGTCACTCCTTCAAAAGCTGCCGAGCGGTCGTTTACTTTCTCAATTTGCTAATGCACCTAAGCCTTTTTGAATCACGCATTGCCTATAAAAAATAACCAGGTAAGGAACTTCTGTAGTTGAAAGAGAGAAAAAAACTTTGCTAAACTCATATCTTAGGAATTTCTGCAGCGGATGCAAACTAACCAAGTCCAGTAACTAATAAGACAATGGTTTTGTCCTGATGACCAAATGCATTTTTCGCCGTGCAAGTATAACGATCCTGATCCTCCATTTGCACATCTGAAATATGTTTCAGCCAAAAACGCAAAGCGTGAAATTTGTTACTTTAACAAGCAAAATTCGAAAATACTGCGATTAGCAGAGGTCGGGAAGCAAAAAGCATACGGATTTGCCCAAATAAGATTTTGCCCTTTATCTTCTGCAGTGGCTTGGCCTACATTTGGTATCTGCTCATAACTGTGGATCGGTTTCACTGGAATTATATCCCAGCCAGCCCTCAAAACTCTTTAAACAAGCCCTTCAACAACCTGTTCCGACAAGAAGTGAGCGGTTGTTTGATTACTGCAGCTTAAATCTTACTTGTAAAATTCCAAGGTTTTTCAGAAGTACTTTGCCCGATGTAGTACCGCCCTGAGTCGTAGATGGATCCAGAACAACCTCCTGGGCAAGGGGGAGTGAGGCATCTGAAGCGGGGAGGAGCGACCGGGGTGTGGAAAAAGTTTTCTTTAGTTTTAGCGCTGCTACCTGTGCCTCTGTGGGGCAGGGTTTAACATTGCTTCTTGTGTCCATCGTAGCCGCCCCCCCTCCCCGCTCACTTTTCCCCGAATCCGCCAATGCACTGAGTAAAAGTTTTTTAGCTGGCAGTAAGAGTAAAAACTTTTTTCATATTTTTATGCGTTTTTTGCAGCAATGCAATGCGAAAAACGCATATTGACGAGAGGTTGT